ACTTCCTCATGTGTTAACCAAAGAAAAGACAAAGATGTTCACAAACTTTTGAAAAAAAAAATGGTTTTTTGGCCCACGCCTTGATTGGTACAAGAGTTTGATTTTTGATGAGCCCACTACAGCAGCTGCTGGTGAGGAACAGGAAGTAATGGGTGACTGTCTCGACAATGAGAAAATACCTATTATGACAATGTTTGTCACTTGGGTAAGGCCCATATTATTATTTTACAAAAATGTAAGTTCATTCAGAAAACCATTGTTCCTTTACTTTATTTACATGCAAATCATCTTATGTTCACATTTTACATGCAAAAGGACTTATTTCCACTGAGTTCATGCAAAAAGGTCTTATTGCCAAAACAAAATCACTTTTTAAACTATTTTTAGCTACCCTAACTGAAATAAGTGTTTTAATCTCATGTTTAGAATCAAAACTATTGCATAACATGGATTAGAACTCATTATCCCTTTTCAGAACAAAGCTACAAGTTTTTTGCACTCCCTGAAAAATTACTTAAATGTGACTTAAGCTTGTTTAAATTTTACCTCCTCATATATTTTTACAGTTTTATACAAACAGAAAAATAATAGTAAATTAACTAGTTATTAAAAAATAAATAATATAATCCAATCTGCATATGTTTAACTTAAATAATATTTTAGACAGCCATTTGAAAGAACAAAAGCTGCTGTATACATAAATAGTACAGCTGTCATTGCCATATTAAAAATTGGTATCCATACCATAAAAATAATTTTAAAAATTTATAGACATAAACCTATTTATATATCTAGTTGTCATAATTCTTAATATTATGAGCCATACAAATGCATTAGGAACCAAGTTATCAGATCCGTCTAATTTATTAATACAAATAAGGTAGTTTTGACCTAATCAACACGAACCAATTTAAAAGTGGCATCTGGTACTCAGTTTTCAATATTTTTAATACTGAAAAATATTAAACTAACCAACCAACAAATAAATATCAACAGAAAACCAATAATAAATGTTAACAATTCTTGTGTTGGGAAGTGCATTAATGGGCAATATCCAAGAGATCACAATGATTAAAGATTTGCTATTAAAAGGCGAGAAAGTATTATTTAGACCATCTACAAGAAAATTAATTGGAACAAGACAAACAAGTCCTACTATAATTTGGATACATAAGGCAAACATAGTTAAAGATAATGCAATTGTTACAGAGAGAAAGGGAGAGAGAGCTTCTTATAAAGCTGCCAAAAATAATCGCTAGTGAAAACTAGAGCAGAATCAATAAATTAACATTAAAAAAATCATAATACACATACATAAATTGGGCAAACAGATAAAAGACGATAGAAAATCAAAAAATATATCAGATTTTTCAAGGATGGAATACAATTTTCTTTGAATGTTAACACACATCTGTGATTAAGTCGACAGGTTGATCTTTTCTGGAATCCCGTGTGAGTGTAAAATTTGGAATAGAAAAACGTTTTTAATAATTAGGCACTACTATAAGCTAGATTCATGTGAATGGATTCATTCTAGAGCAAACATAAGGTTAATTGAAATCATAAAAACTGAAGAGTGTTCTCTGCATAGTTTTTTTTGGCAGTAATTTATATCAGTAATTAATTCTCCATACTGTGTCAATGATTTTGCAAATGGCAAATAATAAATATATTTTCCTATGTTTCTTTTATTTATTTAAAATAATAATGGCTTGTCCATAATTTTTGTATTTATTTTATCACATTAACTATATCATTTTAAGATAATATATTTGGATATTTATTTCAGTCCATTGTTTTAATTAATAGAAATGCCCATGTCTATATTCACATTATAAAATTTTTATATTTAAAAATAATATGTCTTAATTATATGATATGTTTCACCTAAATTCGTTTATTTTAAAAAAGATTTAATTAAAAAAACACTCTTTAAGGATAGGTATTATATTATTTCTCAAAACAATGGTCAGATAATGAATGTAGTTATTGAATTTTGAATCTCCAGGATATTTATGTGAAGAAAACAATACTACAAAGAAAATAATGTATCAAAACTAAATCAAAATATAGCATTTGCTTGGATAATAAATAAGTAATTGCCAAAAATAAATTTCACATAAAGTACTTATAGCATTTTTACAAAGTTTATTTTTATCCTTACGTTTTGTTCAATATTGTCAAAATTTTTCAAGTGAATCTTTATATAAATGTATATAATCAAATACATACAATATATTTATCTACATCTTGTAGTTAAACTCATCAAACATGTCCAATCAAATACATATCAAAACACAAAAAATTTAATTCCATTAGTAAAGTTTGTTTAGCAGTAAGTGGTTGACTTCAATTACTACCTACTATAAACAAACTAAGTGACCGATAATAGTATAAAAGGTCCGGTTTCAGGCAAATTTAATTATATTTATGAATGCACTAATTGAAGTCTACTAATTTCTACTAAACAAACTATTAGTTTTAGTTTAATTAATCCTTTTAGAGCAAGAGATTTTCTACATATAAAAATATGTGATCTACTACTACACTCTATTTTTATTCCTACTAGTAGCATGACCATCTGACACTACTAGTTGAGTTGAGTTGAAAAAATCTGGTCTAAAAGGGTTAATTGATATAAATTGATTTTATAAGATAAGAAAATTATTGCAATGTGAGATATACTTGTTAATCAATAAGTGAACGTAATTGCACTATTATTTAATCTAAAGGTGTAATTGTAGGCCCTCTACGTGCTGTGGGGTAATAAGGCAATGCTTTATTATTAAAATATTGGTTATACCTTGAACGTGGATCAGCAAACCCTGTTTGAGGATCAAATGTAATATAATTATTATATACAGGAGTAGGTACTGGAGTTGGCCTGAACAGGCTGTATATTAAATGATATAAACTGTAAACACACCTGTAGATTAAACCCATGAAGTTCACTAAGATTGGTGTTGATGCTCTAACAAAACCTGATATTTCCCTAATTAATCTTAATAAATATTCTAATAGATACTTTGTTGCACTACACAGCGATGCTAATAGTGCCCCTAAAAGCACTGTGGCAAAAATCACAGATTCTTTAATGTTATCCCATATTAATATGTGTTTGAAAAAATAGAGGACATTTTCTTGAAGCTGAACTTTCTTCTCTTGCAAAATCATAGATACACTCTCATTAATATTATCACCTCTTATTGGTGTAGATTCTCTCTCGTAATTTCTAACTACCTCCAACTTAAGTCGTATTTCTTTGCTTAGAAACTCTATGGTTTTAACTCTAAACCAAAATTCCCCTAAAACAGCTTCAGGTAATATAACCCATAATTTATAAGTAATTGGAGTTTCATCAGCTTCAGTAATACCAATCCATGGGTCTGTGAGTATTTCTCTATCCAACTTATTTTTAGCAACTTTTAAATTTGTAATAAATTTATCTTCACCTGGACTAACTTTTACAACATCTCTATATGCATTAAGCTTTTCAACATAAAGTTTTTCTTGAAAAGTTCCCACAAAGATAGAGTTTCTGAGCATTCCTTTGCAAAATTTTTTGGTATACTCCAGGCCGGATGTCTCCTGAGAACTACTGGTATTAGGTATGGTCATTTTCTTCAGATTACTTTATTTTGTTTTAAAAATTAAGGCTGGACGTGTATTAAAAATGAGCACCAACAATAAATACAATCTGATACATAGATAATACTTCCGTAACTTGAAATACTTGTTGATTTAAATTTAAGTTCTGATTATTGCAAACTGCAATTACAAACTTATAACTGGTGGGATTTGGGATTTACCCAAAATTGCACTATGCACTAATATTTACGAATTAAAATCGTATCATTTGCACCTGATATTGCATTGTAGACAGGACAAGGTTAAGGTTAAATAATTGTTGTTTGTTGTTCTGGATACTTCCACCACCAATTCCACACATTTAAACTGACAGGTGAATGTGAGGTTTTGTAAATTTGACTATAATAATCTCAAATGTTTCTAAATATTTTGAAACAATTTGATGTCGGAGTAGCATAAAATAAAATCATAACGTACGAATTGACATTAATACCATTAATAAAATAAAACAGACGAACCAAAAATAAATAACGTGACGTCACACTGATGTGGTATTCATTCATTGGATTCATTCATCTACAACATCGAACTCGATGATCTACAACCATCCTACAACCACTCAACCACAGTATAGTGCTTTATTCTCTTATAGGAATAGAGAAATAGGAAATATGGGCATTTCGCAATTGCGGGCACTCTAACCTAACCAAGCATTTATATGACATTTAACGTTCGCTTAAATGGTGTTCAGAGTTGCCAAGTCTCCAGTTTTTCATACTCTCACATAATATTATACAAAAAATTATTAGTATAGATTTTAGTTAAATTAAAGATAATAATCAAATGCATATACAATAAAATTGATTAAAATTATATAAAAAATTAATAGTAATAATTAAATTACCGTATATAATAGAAATGCATTGAAATTATATAAAAATTCAAAGATTTTACAAAATATTTGTTTTATAAGAAACAAACTTTTTTATATAAGAAATTTGTTTTATAAACAAAGAAAATATTTGTTTTATACTTATTTAAATCTTGTAGCTTCTCATAATACAAATTATAATTTCGTAAAAGTAACTTATATTTTAAACCTTCATATACATTTTACAAAAAAAATACGGCAAGTTTTAAAATTTGTAGCTTCTCATAACACAAATTATTATTTCGTAAAAGTAAATTTATATTTGTAGCATTCATGTACATATTTTACTAAAATAAATACGGCAACACTGTGACGCAGTGCCTTGAGGAAAATATATTTGGTTAGGTTAGAGTGCCCGCAATTGCGAAATGCCCGGAAATATTATACACCCGAACATTTAAAAAGAATATGAAATAATCATAAAACGTAAAATAAAATTTACATGGTTGCCTACAGTTGGCCATTTTGAATTATGTTTGACAGGTCGTCGAAGCTTTCATTTACATGATACATGATATAAATAAATATACCAGAAAAAAAAAAACCAAAACCCAATTTAATAATAGTAGAAATTTTGGACCCCTTTAAAAATGACTTTGGGAAACCATTCAAAAGCATATTTTGGTCAAAAGTAGGTTTAAATGATTGTGATAATTGAGACCCTTTAGTTGAAACTATGGTATACACTTATAATTTCTAATTGTAATATTAAAATAGAGAACATAATTGTTGGCATTTGTTTTAGAAAAACCCCAACGTATCCACCTCAAGGAGTTCGTTGTCAGAAGTGCTTGGAATATGGTCACTGGAGCTATGAATGCAAAGGAAAAAGAAAATATCTACACAGATCTTCAAGAACACAAGTATTGAAAAAGAAACTAAAAACTAAGGAAGAAACGACCGTCACTAGTAACGAAACTAATATTAATAGAGAACAATCCTCAAAAGAAAACAAATCAAATAGAAATAATAGTAGTTCTGAAGATAGCAGCTCTGATTCAGACAGTTCAGATTCTAGCAGCAGTGACAGTAATTCTAGCAGTAGCAGCTCATCTGGAAGTAGTTCGGGCTCAGAAAGTGATACTGATTAATCAGAATGTTGTAATTTTAATATGATCTTATTATGTGTACCTTAATGTGATTTAAATATAATTTAATAATATGTGTGTAGATTGTATTTTTGATAGCTTATGTTTTTATTAAAAATGGTACTAATATTCTTATCGTTACAATTCATGAATGGCCAGTGAAAAAATGTAATATGAAACTCTCTTACAAATAGTTCATTCTGTCTGAGCAACTCTTATATTAAAGCTATTTAGTAATTCTGCATTAATAAAAATACTGTTGTTGATTTTATATAATGTCACTATATTTAAGTGAATTCTTCGAAATTAGTAAATTTAGTTTACTATATAAAGATTAATAATCAATTATGTTTAGTTTTCATCAGGTCATGCTGCCCATATCAATTGCTGATTCTATTTGTTCTTTCTAACAAGTTGTGTAAGTCTTTCAGGTTGCTAGGGATTATTACTGTGTTATTTGCTTATAGTATATAGTTTATTAATTTCTCATTTACAGAATAGCCTTGCTATTGTGGTACACCTCTTCTCTTTTTCTTAGGGTGCCTATCCATTTAGAATTTTGCCAATCATTCTGGCTATGATGACTTTGTTGATATTGACTATGTGGCTATGATGATTTGTTGGTTGATATATGGAATAGCTATGTTGAGGTCTTTCTATACCATGCTTCAATTTTACCTAGCAAAATGCATTGAAGTAGCTCATATCTGCCTTGGTACACCTCAAAATCCATATTATAGAACACTACTTTAATCTTATCCATTGCTTAACTGATTTCACTATTCGTTATGTCTGGCTTTAGTTCAGAATCTTTATTTAGTATGGTTTTTTCAGTTGCATTTATTATCTTTATTATAGTGTCCCGTCTATTGCTGTATATTTCTTGATAGAAATCTTCCACAGCTTTTAACAACTCAATCCTGTTGGTTATTTTTTCTAGTTTCTATTGAATTTTTTTGGTATTATATTTTGTCATATCTTTTCTGATGGCTTTGTGTAATTTTTGATTCATCTTCCTATTTCTTCTTTACTTGTGTTTATATTCTTTCTCTGTTTCATTAGGGTTTTGGTTTCATCATATTCTGCCATACAGTGCAGCTCAAAAAGCAATTAAACTTTTCAAGTTTTGATCCAATCAGATCAAGATAATATGTGTATTATTGTCCCAGTCTCATAGTTAGATATGATTTCTAAATTTTCCATGGAGTTTTCTTCATGACACACGAAAGGCACACAGTGGCCTTTTATCTATTCATTGTAGCTCTTGTTCGATTTTTTTCATAAAAAAAGTTTGCAATTATTGGGCTTAAACTTCCGTTAGGATGGTGGGGTCTGACAGACCCAAAAATTTATATAATCCCTATTGGCTACGCATTCATTTTATATTTTATTACTTTTTACCCAGCAGACTAAATTTTTGTAAATCCGTAAGTTGATTGTTTTAGTCTTTTGTATTAATTTATGTACATGTAGTGTATTTAGATGCTTTGAAATTGTACAGAACTATTCTGTTAGGTGGATTGTTTTCTTACATTTTTGGAGCGATTTTCGCAATTTTGAATTTCACCAAAAAATAAAAAATTCTGAAGAAAAAATACATGTACATGAAATGAATACCTGACACAGATACATATTATCGAAAATTTTATTATTGCCAGATTTATCTTGTTTTTATTTACAGAAATAAATAAATATAAACAGTAGGCGATACCATAGACTAGCGCAGAGCCTCATACTATGTTTCTGTATTTTTAAAATTTAAATAATATATTTAAAATCAAACAAAGTTTTATTTATTTATTAAAACTCATCTCTAAAGTGCGGTTTGTACTTTATAAAAAGTGTTCGCAGTCTGAAACTGGCTGTCTATACCTGCAGCATAGGATTATTGCATTATTATAAAAAAAATTAACATTATTTTTAAGAAGTAGATGATACCCGTTTAACATACGGATCGCACTATGAAAGAACGTCATTAAAGGAAACGGAAGAGCTAGTAGCGGCGCTGTCATATGTCTAATGGTTAAGTCAAATCAGAGGAAAATGGCGTCGTAATTGTGGATGCTAGTTATAATTCAAGAAAACCATGATTATCACGTATAAACAGAATTCCTAGTTTATATAACACCTTATATGTTACAATAAAACATGGACGCTGTAAAGTCGTTCAACCAGGAGGTAAATATTGTTAGAATTATTCATATCAGTTTGTTACTATAGACGCGTTCTTTTGGGTGGAAAAGTTATAAGCCGACAACATAATTCGTACTAGTGTATATAAAACGTATTAGTACTATGTAGCTAATGGTGCCTTCATTCCTCATAACTTTGTTTCCCAGTAATTTCTGTGTGCACAATTGTCTTAAATTATATTTTTTGTATAACCTTATCACCAAGTCGAGGGGAATTCAGTGACAAACTGACCGAACAATTTGAACCACTGTTTAGGAATTCCACAATATTAATCTTTGTTTTTTTGTTCCAGCTCTCGTCTTTGTACGAGGTTAAGCCTCCTATTTCCAAGGCAAAGATGACTGCCTTAACCAGAGGGGCAATTAAAGCTATCAAGTTTTATAAACATGTAGTGCAAAGTGTAGAAAAGTTTATATTAAAGTGTAAACCCGAATATAAAGTGCCTGGACTGTATGTAATAGACTCTATAGTGAGACAATCTAGACACCAATTTGGATCTGACAAGGATGTGTTTGCTCCAAGATTTTCCAAGAATATGCAGCAGACTTTTGTCAACTTGTTTAAGTGTCCAGCGGAGGATAAAGTGAGAGTTTTTTTTTAATACTGCAATGCTTTTTATGTACATAAGAAATTAGGGATTTTGATAATATAGTTACTCTTACACATGTCATAAAGCTGTAAAAAATAATACTTTTACAGCTTTCTGTCAATTTTATAAACAGTTTTTTCTGTAAATTTAAGAGAAATCTGTTTATGATGTAACTTGGAATGAAATTAAGTTGTTTTCAAATATCACAGATAACTTGATATAACTGTGTTTATGAAAGAATGGCTGATAACATCTTGAATCTTAATGTCTCAATCAAATAATAAAGTAATTGAAAGGTTAGATGGTTAGAAGATGCCTTTGTTTATTTTAATTATGTTGCTACTTGATAGTTGATAAATAAATCAAGAAATGTTTGAAAATAAGTTGGTGTATTTGGATAGGCTAAAAATCTTTGGAGAAACATGTCTTAGATGTTGATTCAGAACACTAAAACATGGGATTCAATTATAAATTTTATTCTATGTATATACTTTTTTTATACCTCATGAAAGTGCTTGAAATAACCTGAAACGATATTCTGTCCATTATGCATTTAACCAAGTCATTTATATCTTCTAGTTCTCTTTCCTTCAGTAATTTTAGGTGTGGCTTCAGCTTGAAAGCATTTTTTCTATTTTATATTTATTATTAAACCTTATCTCATAAAACTTTGAAATTATCCATGTAGAGGTTATTTTAAAAAAATATATTTTCAGTGAATGATTTCACAGAAGGAATTGGTTTCAAACATACTCTTGCTACTCCTTTTGATAACATATATATCATTTCATAACCCTCTGTACCACTATGACTCAGTTTCTAGTTCTCTCATGCTCAGGTGTTATTTTTCTAGAGTAGCTTGTACTTCTTGTTGCTATATATGTGTCTTTTGGTAAAGTTTATATACAACAATAATGTAGAATTCAAATCTGTATATCACTTGATTATAGAAAATCTTTGTTGTTGTGTATTAATATTACACCAATTACATAACTGTTTTTGATTTGATGATTTTTTTATTACTCTATACTTTTGAAAATATGATGTTATCTAATAAACAGTACAGGGAAGATTTATATTTTTCTTTGTTGTTCATATATTACTTTAGTTTGTATTGATATTCTAATCTTCCTCGTTATGGAATGAGAATCTCAAATGTGTTTTTCTGTTTCTTTTCATATAAAACTGCCTGTTGTAGTTTACAGTGTTGTATTTTCTATTCTGTGTAATTATTTCTAGACTAAAAAATATAGTTATTAATTTATTGTGAGAACACATCTTTATGATTCTTCTTTCTTTATATAAGCAATTTTGTTTGTTCATTGAAGGCTTGTTCATTCTATGGAAGACTCACTCCATTTCTATGTGGTCAGTTGATAGTTCTGCTAATATATGTTGATATATCCCTTGCCATTTTAACAATTCCTACTACCATTCTACTGATCTACTTGTGATTATTCCATTCTTATCTTTATAATTAGGTGAATAAATTAAACAATCTGTAGTCATGGTCTTAATTATTAGCATGTTATATATTGCATAGTTCTTGCCTATATCTTAGTTATTTACCTACTTATTTTCATTCTTTCAAAGGATTTCCAATAGGCTATTTAATTCATTTTCTGGCAAATTTGTTTCACAGTATTGTATGCCTGTAGTACAAAATCTCTGATTTTTTCAAATAGATACATGATATTAATGTGCCATACCCCATTTTGAACATAGTTACTTTGATATATATGATAATGGGGACAGTACTGGGACATAATGCTAAAAATGGGCCAAGATAACTTAAAGATTTTGTTTTTACTAAGAAAATAGGGGAAACTGGTCTTGATATTTACCAAGAACCTCTTAAAGGTTCTGGAAAAGTGTCAAATAAAAAAATGGTTGATATATTTTTACAATAACGCATATTCTGAACTATGTGATTGTGATATGTCATAATGCCACTAAAACTAACTTAGATTAAACCATTAAGCCAAAATTCAGTATAAAAAGTTGTGCATAAATTACTGTTGCAGATTAAACCATACAAGATAATTGATTTTATGAATTCAAATGTGTAACAGGATTTCTGTAATTTCTTTCTTTGTTTTGACATATTTTTCGGTCTATGTATATCTGTATTCACTTTGTGTATATGTCTTTGTATATTTTTAAACAAAAATGCATAGTGTGACTTGTTATGTAATAGATTTTATTTTAAAACAAATAAAAACAACTATAATTATGAGAATACATCTAGAAAGTTATGTAAATGAAATAATATGGGAGCACTTTTTTAAATTGCTTTTATTAAGAAGGATTATGAGATTTAGGGGCATATAAAAGATTAGTAATGTTTGAAAAATGGACAACATTCATGATGCAGAGCTTACCAGAAGAATAATCTTAGCTAATATGGCAAACTTTGCTATGAGATCTATATTTAAATCACGAGATCTAGATGTATATCAAAGAACTAAGATACAAATCTACAAGACATCTATGAAAGAAAAATACTGATGAGAAAACTAGGCCCTAAAAACGGGAACAACTGGTGGTGAATCAGAAAGAACCACCTTTATTCTCAGTATGTCCATCTTCAGCATTTCTAATGGACAGGCCATGTATTTATGATAGAAGAAAACAGGCTTCCAAAAAAGCTGTTAAATATGAAAATGCAGAGAAAAGGACCTATTGGAAGACTGATGTGGATAAGTGGCACAGCATGTAAACTAGCAATGGTTGTTAGAGGTGTGCTTATTAGTTCTTTTAGACGAACTAGTTCAAGGGAACTATTTCACAAAAATGAACTAGTTCAGTGAACTAGTTGGCGAAAGAACTATTTGTAGGAATGAAATCGAAATCCAACCCTAACATAACTGGTTGCCAGATGTCTCGTCTCAATCATCACACAAGGTCGGCACCGGCTGCCCGTTTTCTTTGGTTTTCAGTCAGTCAGTCTTTCACTACAGTAGGGCTCAGCGTTCAAGTAGTTCAGATTCGGAACCATTTCTTTTGATCGTATGTTTAGGTTTAAATGTTAATTATTATATGATTAGTTAGCTTTTCTTTATAATAATTTATTTTCTTAATCAATCCCTAAAGATGAATAACAGACGAAATAGAAGTTTTTTATGGGATCATTTCGAGAAAAATGATAAACATCAAAAATCCGCAAAATGTAATTACTGTTCATGTGATGTTAGTATTGCAAGTGGTTCACTGGTCAATTTATTAAGACATGTAAGAATGAAACACTCTGCTATTATTCTCAAATATGTCAATGTTGAAAGATACATAGAAAAAGGACCCAAAAAATCAGAAAATGCATTTCAAGAACCTCAAACTTCAATGTCAAAATCAGTTTCGCTAGTAGGACAAGCAGGGGAAGATGAAGAGAAACCAGTTATAATTCTTAAGAAAAAGCCTGCTCTTACTCCCCTTGTTTTTATCAGGGACTATGTAATTCGACCTGTTCTATAAAAATTAATGAACTAGTTCAGTTGAAAGAATCGTTCGTATACGTTCATTTGAACTATTTCAATGGTGAATTACACATCCCTAATGGTTATAGCCAATGTTCATTAGTGAAGTTGCTACTAGAAGAGGAAGAAAATTAAAAATAAAATTTGAATAATAATTGTTTTACTAAAATCATAAGAAACAGATTAATGACATTCATTTAAAGTGTTTAATATTGTATTTTTTGTTTTTCCAGAGTAAAATCATCAGAGTTTTAAACTTGTGGCAAAAAAATAGTGTATTTCCACCAGAGGTGATCCAGCCTCTTTTTGATTTAGCAGATCCAAATAATCCCATACACAAAGAAATAGAAAATGCCATGCAGCAATCTACCAATGGTTTAAACAGTACTACATCGTCAATCATCAAAGGTTGGTATAAAAATGATTTTAAAATTGATTTTCATTGATGCAGCTTGCCAAAATAATAACATAAAAAAAAACAATGAATGATTTGGCTTGCTGCGAAAAGCTGACACTTGTCTAAATAAGTTGTTCATATTAGGTTCGCCTGCACTTCAGAAGACACCCACCAAAGGATCTCAACAAGGAAACGAGCTTCATGGAACAACTAGCTTGGTATTAGCTTTTTTCAAACATACAAAATTTTTAGCTTGTGCAAATCTGAATAACTAAGAGAATATGGCTGGCCTTTTATCAGACTAATTTTTAAATAGATATCTTATGTAGCACTCAAAAACCATTGTTTATATTTCAATATTTAATTTTCAATTTCAGTTGTTTACATTCAAAGTGTTTAAATTATTCTTAACTGTAAAACTGTTCAGGATTAATTCTATTCTCAATTAATTTAAATGTAAGTTTTTTACCATACAAACAAAGCTTCATATTTGTAAGTTTGATTATATTCGTAGTTTTATGTTAATTTAAATTTGTTTAACTTATTTTATACCTGTAATGATTTATATTGGTAGTTTTAAAGGTTTCCTAATTATGTTTGATGTAAATAATGATTTTCAAAAAGATTATTATTGAGAAATGCCACCAATATAAATTAAATAAAAAAAATTGTAGATATAGATTTAAGATTTTAGTACATTATGTCTGTAACTGATATAATAATAGTTCTGATCATTATGCCTATATTACTACAGAGTTTATCCCTATCTGACACTAGATATGTCTTTCTCAAAATTTGTGATACAAGGGAGAACTGCAATACAGATGCTTTTACAGCTCCTAATTTCAAATTGTTGAATTAAATTTTATATAGATATTATATAAAAGAGTTTGAGTAAGCTTCAATTGCCAAAGATACATTAACAACTTCACTATTCCAATGGTAACATATATTGGGAGTCTACCACACACAACAATATTTTAATATTAAAATAACATTGATCCTTGATGTGATTTATGGACTTAAGTATTAGCTACACATTACATTCTTTGAAGCATATATTATGATTCGTTAGACAGTGAAGTTGTTAAACAAGTTTTTTTTGTATTAAACACTCTATCAGCACTTTCGATATGATACCTCCTAATGGACATATTTGACATGTATTTATGAGCCAATGCCAAACAGGGTGTCTTTATGTCAAATTTTTAAGATCCCTGTACTTTCATAAAAGCTTTATTAGTATTATTGCAAGAACTGAAATCTTTTTATTTAACTTTTGTTTTTCCTTTCTATTAATTTCTACATTTTTTTATGCAAGTGAGATTTTTAAAGATGTCCCAAAAATGTAACTATTTCATTGTCTTATTTTCACTTTTTACTCTATCAAAAAATACTGTGACATGTTTTTGGAAATTAATTAAAAATTGTTTATGATCTTAGCAATACTGTACTAAATAATGTTACAAAATTCAATCATATTGAAGTAGAAAGAGAAGTTAAAGAAAAATATGTCATATTTATGATGGCCTTTTAAATAATGTCATTTTTCGACAGATTAAATTCTATTAAAAATCTATATTGTTAGTGTGACTTTATTATTAGACTGTACCTTGCATTTTATTGGCTGTCTTGCATTGTGTTTACTGTTTATGATTATTGTTATGTTATCAAATGTGAAGATTTTTCTTTATATCTGAAATAAATTTATTGAACCAACATTTGTACTTGAAAAAGGAGACAATAAAATATTGCCCAAATGAGTAGTAAACTCTATTGGAAACATTATTAACCTTCAAATTCAGTACAATATAGCAAAGGCAAAATGTTTTGCAAAGTTTTTATGAAAAAAAATCATACTTTTGAATAAAAAATTCTGTTAATTACGGTTGTTATATTCTGATAGTTTGTGTTGATTTATTCAAAAGTTTGATATCATATTCTAAATACAAAAATTTAACAAATTAACAAAAATATGTATTGTTTGTATAAAAAGTTTTTATGTATGTATGTAAATATTTAGTGTTTGTATAAGATACGCTGAAGGATCACTACATTCATACCATAGTTAATCAAAATCACATTTTTACATAGATTTAAAATTAGTAGAATAGTTCATTCATTTTTTAAATAAAATACTCTGCTCATGACATATATGCATGTATTTAATATCAAATTTTTTTCTTAATATGATAATATAAGGTTGCCTGAAAATATGGTCTTAAATCATAGTTTTCAGCTGCTAAAAACGCGAGGTATCAAAGATAAAGTAAAAGACAACTAGCATGCAACAATACTCGTTTGAAGTGTTAGTTGTGTGTATTTTTAAAGCATGCATCGATAGATAGTATAATAATGTATATATTATCACTTGTCTAATCAGAGGCATTGTGTCCTAGCTGCCTTTTATTTCATCTTTGATACCTTGCGTTTTTAACAGCTGGTAACTCTAATTTGTAACTATTTTTTCTCAGGCAATGTTATATCATTATATTAAGAAAAAGTTAGCTTTAATTTGATATAAAAGACATGCACAATTGTCATGAGCAGCTTATTTTATTTAAAAGATAAATTAAATTTTGTTAAAAAATTAATTACTATTAACTTTAATCAAATGAAAAGCAGATATCGAGCTCAGTTTATTAATTAAATTTTGCCCAAGTACTTTCGCTTCCTAGAGCATCTTCAGGGGCATTTGTTCAAATTTGGCCTATCCAACAATCTTTGAGAATGTCATGAACATAAAATTGTACATTAACACTTAAGGACACAAGGACAAACAGTTTAAAATTTAAAAAAAAAACGGCGAAGCTACATGTTGATTAGCATCATGAGAGAGAATGAATGTAGCTTCGCCATTTTTTAAAAAAATTTAAACTGTTTGTCCTTGTGTCATGTAGTGTTAATGTACAGTTTTATGTTCATGATATTCTCAAATATTGTTATAAAGGGAAAATTTGACGAAATGTCCCTGAAGATGCTCTAGGAAGCAAAGTACTTGCCCAAGATTTAATTAATAAACTGTGTTTGATATCTGCCTTTCATTTGATCAAGTTTCATTTATTCGAGCATTCAACCTTATATCACTTAATTACTATTAATTTAATTAAAAATATTTGTGGCCACTTTTTGACTGGCAACCTATTATCAATGTATTCTCCCAATTTTAAATGTAGGTAAAAATTTGAGTGTGATTAACTATATTATGAACATAGTGACCCTGCAGTGGGATCTTGTACTTTAGTTTTATAATTGAGGAAATTTGGTGTTTAAAAGCATCAGACCTATGCTATAATTTACAACGTAAGCATTATGTGTAAAAATCTGAAATAAATTATCATAAAAAGATGTTCAAGGTGTCCTAAAAAATTTCAAAATACATTTCACATAAGATGACAAAAACAGTAAGCACATTAAAATTTGTTAGTTTTTGCTTGGGTAAATATCTGTATATTTAGGACACCTTCTAGTTCTAGATAGTATGTAAAACTCACGATTGTATCCAAAAATTATCAAATTTATAGTGTTCTTAAAGGTTTAATGTCTAAATTAGGATATTTGAAAAAAAAATTATGAAGTATTATTAAATTGTAATAAGATCTCAGATACTACCAATTTTGACATTTCAAATAGTGTATCTTATATATTTGTAGCCAATCATCTAAAACAAATACATTGGATCTTATAACATTATCTGCTAAACAGTTAAAAATAATGCCAAACTTTGTATTTGTATTCTACTTGCAAACTTATATATATTCCATCAATGTTTTACATCTAACTTGGCTGTTTCTCACACCCCTTCCACCATTCTTTTGTATTTGTACCATTCTGGGAGTCTCCATCCGAATTTCTCCTGCTCATCGCCTCTTTGATACCTTCTCTCCATTTTTTGCTGGAGGGCCTCTCCTTCTTTGTGGACCCAGTTATAAATTTGGTTCAACAATTTTTGGTATGGTTGGTTGTTGGTTCTTTTCTTTTCTGTCTACTAACATTGTTTCTATATCCTTTCCATTCCGAAATTCTTAATAATTGACATGATCTCATTATGTAACTTGACAACATCTATAAATCCCTGTTTCAACTGTAATAATTTTTCTTTTATTCTCTCCTGGTATTGTCCACATTTCTGTTATGTGCGTTACAGCGTTTTTTTCCGATGATCTGAACAACTTTTTCTTTATTTGATTTGACAAACTTTTATTCCATAGTAGGAATGTAACTGTTTTGTTATATCTTTACCTCTTTCTATTTTGTTTTGCATATCTGCATTATGCTTTCCATCTTCATTTATCAGAAATCCCAAGTATCAGCAACACTGTTCTTCTAATGCCATTTGCACCAGTTCTCATAGAACTGGTGCAAATGATTCCAATTAATTCCAATTCAAACTCCCATAGGATTGCATTTCATTGTCCATTGTTTCATTGATATATATTTTGAAGAGTTTGTGACATGCAGTAGCTTGAATATTGTATTATTTAAAAATTTATAATTGTAAAGAATCTTCATTGTAGTTTGTTCACTTATAGTTTCTTTTCACCTTCACTTCTCTAAACAATATGTTTAGTCTACTACTTCCCATAATACACCAGGTATAAAAGTCTTGTCCCATGATGACACCAATCCCTGTCATTTCACAAATGATTATTAAAACCAATTACCTAACTCATCAACATTTTCTCTTCAGTTTCTTTGGTATATGTAAAATACATTGACTTTGGTTTATTGTTTTTGTTTTGACCACTCTTATAAATCCCATACTTATTGTCTTGATGCTATTTGTCTATCCCAGAGCATTTCTGTATAAGTTTCAAGTATTTCTATATATTTTTGGTATTTAAAATATACAGAGAGACTAAAACATGTCCATAGACTCACAATTTCTTCATACCAGTACAAAATTAACTGTTTTTTCACAATGATCAATAATTCTATCCTGATTTTGTGTCATTTGTCTCAAATTATTTGTGATAAATATTCCCCAAACCATTTTTAACAATATATTTTTTTTTTTTAATACAAAGACTATTTGTTTTTTATTGCTAAAACTTCTTTCTTCTCTTCGTTAATACTTTTGGTAATTTACCTATTTCCAGATTTTCCAACAGTACAATTGTAACTATTATTTTCTGGGCATTTTCTCACAATACAATTTGTGTCTAGTTTTGGGAACTATATTTTCTGTATGAGTACTCTTTTTGAACAAATATCGCTA